TATCACCTTTATTACTCTGAAAAACTAAGGTGAGCTGGGTATGGTAGCATATGCCTATAGTCCTAGCTACTCAGGAGGATCAGTTGAGGTTAAGCGTTTGAGGCTGTGGTGCACGATGATTGTACTTGTGAATAGCCACTGTACTCAGACCTGGGCAATATAGTAAGACCCCATCTCTAAACATAAATAAATAAAGATTTAAGTTGGAGGAAACAGCTTAGAATGAGATTCTAATAGGTCTGTTTAACTATATCCCAAATTCTTGTCTACTTAGTCACAGGCAGGGTTGAGGAAGAGTAGCAAAAAGTATGTCCCTAAAGACAACTCATAAGGAAAAAAGGATGAAGCTGAGTTCAGCATACCCAGTTTATTTTTTGTGAAGTTTACCAGTTAGATTTCATTCAATTCTGGGCAGAGAAAGTCTTAAGAGTTACACTAATTAAACTCCCTCCTTATGGATAGAAATCAGAAACCAGCCTTTGAAAGAGTGAGACACCGTCTCTACTAAAATATAGAAAAATCAGCTGAGCATGGTAGTTCGTACCTGTAGTCCCAGCAACTTGGGAAGCTGAGGTAGGAGGATCACTTAAACTCAGGAGTTACAGATTGCTGTGAGCTAGGCTAATGCCACAGTACTGAGTACTGTGTAGTCTGGGTAAGAGAGTGAAACTGCCTCTAATAAAAAAAAAAAATCAGAAATGGTGAATTGTCTCCAAGCTAACATTAAGATCTGTTAGCCTAGATTTGTTTTTTGGTTTTGATAGTTTTGCCATAATAGTCTATATATGTACCAAGTATATATACATCAACTTTTGTTTAGTATAAAGTCAAGAAAAACTTGAATATTTGAGGATGCTATCTTTTATATAATCCCCTAATTATGAAAAAAAGATTACAGTCCAAATGTAGAGATGTAATTTATTTGTAGAAAATGAAACCAAAAAACTACTTCTGAATGTTATTTTTAAAGATCTGTTTCCTTAAAGAGTTAAATATACAATGGGTCAGAAGTACTCAGAATTACATCCTGTTTTATTCTCTACTGAATTTGGCAAAAAGTTCAGCAGCTATTTGAGTACTTGCCACGTGTAGTCTTATATGGATGCTCCAGAAATTATACTAAGTTTTTCAGGAGTTAATGATCAGATTGAAATGAACATGACAAATAGAGAAATAGTACAAGGCAATATATGGAAATAAAGTAAGAACAATACTTGTGCTATAGGGTTTTAAGGACCAAACACGTTCTGTTTTTGAAGAGAGATGGATTGGATATTAAATGGCTTCTTAGAAATGCCATCTTATAAATAACTTGCTTGTCTCTTAATGTTCAGTCTTGACATTTATAATATCAATATTATAGTAACTTTCATCCTCATTAAGTATGTCCATTATTTAAAGTATAAAGAAAGGCTTAATTTTATGTAATTGTATGTACTCAGATAGTCATCACCTTATATTTTTTCATCCTTTTTCTTTCAATAAAATTGAAATTATACTTACTGTATACTATTTTAAAACGTGTTCTTTTCATTCAGTGTGTATAGCTTGAGGGTAAGTCTTCAAAAACATTTTATTTAGCCAGTTCTCTATTATTGGGAGATGCAGTTTTTATTTGTTTTGTTTGCTCTTTCTATAAGTCTCTAAACATGGTTAGGTCAGCTTTTTTTGGGGGGAGGGTAAGAGGGAGACAGGGTCTTGCTTTGTCTCCTGAGCTAGAGTGCAATGGGTATCAGTCATAACTCACTGCAACCTCAAACTCTTGGGCTTGAGTGATTCTCTTGCATCAGACTCCCTAGTAGCTGGGATTGTGGGCATGTGTCACCATCCTCAGCTAATATTTCTATTTTTTTGTAGAGACAGAGTCTGACTCTTGTCAGGCTGGTCTTGAGCTTCTGGCCCTGAGCAATCCTCCTGCCTCAGCTTCCTGAAGTGCTAGGAATATAGGTGTGAGCCACACTGCACCCGGCCTACTTCTGAAAGGTCAACTTTTAAGAAGTTGATTTATTAGGACATTTTTAAGGCAACCAGGGTTTATTTCCTTTAATGACTTTTGCCTTTTATTAAAAGGGATATACTTTTTAGGTAATGATATTTATTTGCATGTATTGAATAAACCTTTTTCTGTTTTTCTTTCTTCCCTTTGAATATATTAATAAGAGGACCTGTAGTCTTTTATTTTACTAAATCATTTAAATTTTTCTTTGCATGTTTATTGTTTGAAGTTTAGTATGTATCTGTTTTCACTCTTACTCTTGAATATTTCTGATACTTATTTCAAGATACCTGAGGTTTTTAAATGGCAATTCATTTTTAGAAAGTAATATTTACCTAAAGATCTAATTTCTGTATTTTTCAGGGTTACTTTGAAAGTTGCAACATACACAGAAACAGAATAGCAGGCTTTGAAGTTAAAGCCTATGCTAACCCCACAGTGGTTCGATGTGAAATTCACCATGGGCAGACTGGAGGAATATATGTCCATGAAAAAGGAAGAGGACAATTTATAGAGAATAAAATCTATGCAAACAACTTTGCAGGTGTATGGATTACCTCAAATAGTGACCCAACAATAAGGTATTTATGTATAATTATGGGTGGAAATTGCTTTTTCACTTCAGAGTTTGTCTTATATACAAGAAAAATCAAAATAGTGAGCTTTAACTCTTAAAAGCTTTTTTTTAGAAATTGTACTATTGTACAATATATTTCCCTAGTTAAAAGTCTGCACATCTGAATGAGAATAGCTATTGTGTGTTTTTGATGTTCCATTCTAAGCCATGCACAATATCATTTTATGAATAGTTGTGACTGTTACCATTTCTATTTTAAATTCATGAAACTGCATTATAAATTAGTAAAATAGGACTGTGGCCTTCTTAGAACTTGAATGAATTTGTCTTCTCTCTTTTTTTCTGAGAGTTAGGAGATAGAATAACTCAAAAAAATAATTATTCCAAAGATTTTTAGATGGAGAGACTACAGTTAATCAAAGATTTAAAACTTTAAGCTGTCACTTTCCCTTATGAGTTTCTACAGCCCCCTTTGGCTACAGTAAGGAAGCAAACAAATCTACTGGTTTTTGTTTGTTTGTTTGTTTGTTTGTGTTTTTGAGACAAGAGTCTCACTATGTAACCATTGGTAGAGTGCTGCAGCATCACAGCTCACAGCAACCACTAACTCTTGGGCTTAAGTGATTCTCTTGCCTCACCCTGGGACTACAGGCACCCAACACAACGCCTGGCTATGTTTTGTTGCAATTGTCATTGTTGTTTAGCAGGCAGCGAACCTACCTGCCTCAGTGTATATGGCTGGCGCCCTAACCAAGGACCTGTGGGCACTGAGCCCAAACAATT